CACCCTGACTGGCTCGTCTCCTCCCCAAGACCCCTCTGCAAGGGGATCTCCAGTGGCCTACAAATGGGTTTTGGGTCTCCACTCTGCACTCCGCCCCCCTCATTCACTATGGTAAGATTTTTTGTTCTGATGATGCCTTATACCTGACAGACAGGGCATCTTTTCAGGAGCAGACAGCTCTTTCTTTTCTCTTGGGGAACAGTGGTAAAGCTTTATGGGAGCAGAAAGCCACATCTTTCTCCCTAGAGCTTGTTGGTGTCTTCAAACTGCTGACCTTGTGGTTAGCAGCCAAATGTGTAACCCACTATGCCGCCTGGGATCCTTAGTGATCTATATTAACTTGTGTCAACAAATGAGTCAACAGGTCAGATAGGCGTTGCTTAACCAGCCTAGAAGACACGGGTAAAGGCCCTGAGGTCTGTAGACAGGTGGAGTCCGAGGACCCGAAAGACCAGGTGTCAAGAAAACAAGGCCCCAAACGATACAAGATGACAGTGTAGTGGAGTCCCTGGGTGGCAAAATGGCTAAACATTCAAACAGTAGCCAACTCCCCCCAAACCCCACTCCTGGTGACCTCAGGAGACGTGCTTGGCAACTTGCCTCTGATGGTTCACAGCCTTGAAATTGCTATGGACTTGGTTCTGCTGTGCGCACATGAGGTCCCCGTGAGTCAGAGTCGATTTAATGGCTACCAACAGCATCTGCAACAGGCAGGAGCCAGATTGTGTAAAACAATCTTCCCATCTTTGCTCCAGTTGTTGCAGAGAATGACTGCATGAAGCTGCTACCTGCAAACATCTGAATTCACCTTCAGGTCTTCTCTGCTGTTACTCTGTGGGATGCTTACAAAACACCACTCAGCCTGTTTCCTCTGGACGGCTCTGGAAGGGCAAAGGCTTCAGTGAGCTCATGGAAAAATGAAAGATGATGGAATTTTCCATGAACTTTCTGAAGCCCTCCTGTATAAAGGCATTAGTAACCCTGTGTCCACCATTAGCTGGCAAGAAAGAACAGGTAAATCCTTCCCTCTTTTATTACTTGAAGGAGCGATTTGGAGATTTCTTCTACGTAACTTCTAGGTGGAATCAAGAGCCAGTTTCCCCAGCAGTGAGAGGCTTTTCCACAACCTTGAGAAAAGTCTTTCTGTCTCCTTCTTCCATTTTTCCCAATCCTCATCCCATTATTTAAGACAATTTCTGGAAAGATGATACCTGTTTACAAGTCCTTGTGACAGGTGGTAATTTTTAATAGCTTTTATCTTTTTTATTACATTTATCTCAAGCTTAGTGTTTATTTATGGTAGATGATATCCACTCTCCATTTACAATAGGAACAGCAACCTTATAGAAATGAAGTATATTTAAGTTGATGAGATATTACCTACATAATAGTTCAGATAGTACTTAGACATGGAAAGAAGATGGAAACCATGCACGACTATCTGGTGGTTGGAATCACTGTTCTGAAGTATGAGGTTGACATGAATCTACAGACTTCTAATCAAATCGTTTTATTTTCCCAAAGATAATTTTCTTTCAGTAGCCATTTTAGAGGGGAAGGGATGTAGGTAACTAGACATAAAAATCAAAAGCATTCTCATATTATGGAAGAGCACTGGTATTTCTGGCAAAATGTGCTTTGTTAGATGTTCAGTGTCTTAAGTGTTAGGCCTTGTATTAAGAAAGGATAGAACAGGGTGAACAGAGGTGAACTCTCTTCACGTAAATGTCTATTTGTCTATTTTAATATCTATTTTACACAGCTTGCCTGCTGTCAGACAAGGCCCTTGAAGTGTGGCCATCCTCGCTAACTCACAGCACACACCTGTATGCACATAGAAAAAGCACCCAGTTTATAATTGTCTGGATGTTTTCCTATAAAAGAACTCACTGCCATTGAGCCCATTCTAACTTACAGTTATCTTCTGGAGGGTTTCCAAGGTTGTAAATCTTCGTAGGAGCAAATAGCCCTCCTTCTCCAGCAGAGCAGCAGGTGGGTCTGAACTACCTATCCTGCAGTTAGCAGCTCAATGCCTGACCTACAGCACCACAGGGCTCCTTTCTAAGCATGGATACTGCATAGAACCCATATATAACTGTAAATACTTTTAAACAAATGCATTCATACCATATAGTAATGTAAAACACATTTTTCTATCAGAGCATATCATTTTAGCATCTTTAAACTAGTTCTGTTCAGAAATACTTCACGTGCAGTACAGTTCAGGTAGTAGTGCACCCATCACCACAACAGACATTTGTTTTCAAAGGAGCTTTCAGTATTCCCCTATGTGGACACCCATCTTTGTTTAACTAATCTTTTCATGAGCCTATTTGAAGGGTTTCCAGTTTTTACTTGAAGCAACCAACACTTTCATCATTGACCTGCAGATCTGTGCACTTGTGTATTTTTTAAAAAAATCATTTTATTGTGGGCTCTTACAGCTCTTATCACAATCCATTGTGTCAAGCACATTTGTACGTATGTTGCCATCATCATTTTCAGAACATTTTCTTTTTCCTTGAGCCCTTGGTATCAGCTCCTCATTTCTCCCTCCCTCCCTCATGAACCCTTGATAGTTTATAAATTATTATTTTTATCATGTCTTACAGCAACAGCTGTCTCCCTTCATCCACTTTCCTGTTGTTCATCCCCCTGGGAGGGGGTTATAGGTCGATCATTGTGATCGTTTCTCCCACTTGTGTGAGTATTGCTGTGAGAAAGAACACTAGATCTTCTTCAGCTTCGTGAATCTCCTTGACCAAATTCCCCGTGCTTTCAAATGTGATGGGTATGGACACAGTTCTCTCCAGCGTGATGTGCGTTTCATTTCCCCAGTCAGTCATGACAGGCCCTGTTCACCAAACCCTCACAGGTGTGGATACACTTGCACTTTTAAATAGTTATCACTCTGGGAGCCCACAACTCATTGTTGCTTCCTTTGATGTTTTTATCATGTGCAAATTTAATTATTTTTAGCATAAAATCAGTGTATATTCTCCTGTGGATTTCTTACTCATACTGTTTTCCTCCCCATTGTATTTTCTCTTTGCATGTTTCACACTGATCTGTAAAAAACTTTTTATGGAGGGAGAAGGGGTAGGAATGTTAACCCTCTGTCAAGCACATTGTTTCCTTTATGCACCAAGTTTATGAAACTTTCTCCTCAGGAAGGTGACTTATGATACAGTGACTTGGAGACTGGGAATAATTGTGGTTGATTAATATAATAGCAAAGCAGTTTTCTTGTGTTAGCTGTTTGGTAGTCATTTATGTACCCTTGGCCTTCAAACTTGAACATTTTTTCCCGTGATATGATACAGTTGGTGCCGATACAAAGTCCATTTGAAGAAAGTAATGCCCCTTTTAACAAAAACAATATCTCAACAGGAATTCGTGCGGCTGACCGTCTCTGATGTTCTGACAACCTATGTCACAATCCTGATCGGAGATTTTCTCAGGGCCTGTTTTGTCAGGTTTTGCAATTACTGCTGGTGCTGGGATTTGGAATATGGATATGTAAGTATATCACTTTTTCTCTTATCAAATTACTCCTTTGGGGCTCATCATTTAAACAGTCCAGGCAAGAAGAAGATCTAGTGAAAAGTATGGGTGCTCTTGTTTTGAGACATCAATAAAAATAAAGACTAATGAGTACAGTTATGATGCAGTGGCAGGCAGACTTGAGGATCATGGCTTAGCACTGTTCTAGTAACATGAGCACAGGGTTTTTCAGATGCTGAAGCAATGGACCTCAACCTGTGAGGGAAAGTGTTGAAATTGTTACATTGTGGACCCATAGTCCATTCCCTTCCCACGCAGGTGTTGGCATTTCTAGACAGGAAAAGATAGAGAGTAGCAACTACATATCCTACTAATTCTTTTGACCTTTTCTAAACAACCACCTCCCCCCAACCCAGCAATTATTATGTATCAGGTGCTGGGTAGTAAACTGGGTGATAAAAGATTGAATAAATATGACCTTTGCTTCCAAAAGCTCATATAAAACATGGCAGAAACACACCAGGGGGTTTTAAAAGTTTTGAGGAAGGTCCCTTTTTGATCAGAATTCTGGGATAAGCCATGGTAGGTTTGATTTTTTTTTTTTTTTGCCCTGCAACAATAGCTCATATTTCCCTGGACCCAAATGATGCTGACCCCAATAATAGCTCTGGCTCTGTGCTCAACCTCAGAGACCCCAAAGTGGGAAGTCAGCAGCAGCGCAAACATGATTCTAACATCTAACAGAGCCTAACATCTCTAGGCTTCCACCTGTCCTCTTTTGCAAAGGAAACTGACTCTCCTAGTCTTGGGGAACTATCACCTGGGAAATAATATTGCTCATTTACTGAAAAATCCTAAAAGCACTTACCAAGCACTTAGAATGTCTTTTAATTTTCTTTCTAGGGCCCTCTTTACCCAATATGATCTGTTTCTTTCATTCTGGCTGAACTCATCACATGACAATTCTTTTTGCTCTGGCTTGTATAGACCGGAGCATTGTTCTCCTTCCTGAGGGTCAATCATGGCGGGCTTTTTTATTCTGCACTCGGGGATTCGTCTCAGGGTGTTGCTGCGCTAGAGTTTGCCATGGCAGATTGATTCTTGTCATCATGATCTCAGCCAATGTGTCACCTCCTTAGACAGCTTCTCTGACCAGGGGTCACTCTCTTCTGCAACACACTGCCTAGTTTCCCTCAGAGGACACGCTAAGGTTTCCTTTTTTAAAAGTCTGAGCTTTGATTGTCTCTAGTGGTTGTAACGCTAATTCTAGGAAAGCATAGGCTTTGGCGCCCATGTTAAATCATTCTTGACCATTGGAAGGCGCTCTATCAATATGGACTGACTGACAGATGCACTGTTGTTCCTCCTTTGCACACAATCTAGGGAGCACAGTCTACTGACAGACTTTCCTACCCCCACCCCCGGGCTAAGCCAATGGAGTCAGTTCCAGCTTAGTGCTCCTAAATCAATGCCATTTTTCAATCGCACGGTGGTGGAATAGCCTTGACTGTGGATGGCCCTCCTGGTTATGCCCTCGAGAGTCTGGAAAAGTCCTCTGTTCAGAGATTTTAGGACCCGAGGCTCGTTCCTCTGCATGGCTATCTGACCTTGAGCTCAGACCATCGATTAGGTCATCTTCCTTCTACTCACTGAAAGCACTTCTTCAGACGACCAAGTACAGTCAGGTAATGCTCTTTGAGGAAGACAGTGAGGTCATGCGATAGATCCAAGATGCACTGCTTTTCCCGCCTGGCTGGTTCAGCTGGCATCATGCCATTTCTGTTTTTCTTGCCTGAGTCAGCTCTTCTGAGGAAGGCATAAAATTGACATTTCTTCTTTAGGTCATCCCTTGGTTTCTGCTAGCCACTTATTCCTTTATGTTGCCTTCTTATTTGAACATTGGTTGCAAATATGAAGTCCATATATAACATGACCTAGATACATAAAAGCTATGATTAAATGACTATGTTGATTGTTTATTGAGTACTGGGTAGGTTCAAAGTAGAGGGGGGAAAGACAAGCTTCTCTTTTAGATCCTAGAGAAAGCCTTTTCTCCCATGTTTCATGTAAAGGGCCTCTTTGGAGAGAAGACCATCATCATTTTAATACGTTTAAAAGCATTAAGATTAGAAGATGCATCTTCGATATAGAGCCTACTATTATTGACGC